CACTGATCTTGGAAAACCAACTCATTCAGAGCAAAAAGGAGGGTGGGGTGTTATGTAAGAGAAGCAAGGATATTTTTACTCCTTTAAAATGGGAAAATAAAAGCTGATCTGTCCTCTTCTCCCCCAATATCTCACTGTCCCCCCTCCCATCTCCACTTTACAATAATCAAGGTGTTGATTTAAACCATGCTATTATCTTTCAAGTCAACCTAACATTTTCTTGCGATGGGGTGTGTTTGGAGAAAAGGGGTAGGATTGTGAGCTCTGAGAGGGTTGTGGGGTGATATATGATTTGTTAAAACCACAGTACATGGGTGAGTCATTAAAACATTTTACAGTGAAAACAGGCATCCTCTCAATAATCCTATGCACATACACGCTTATTCTTATTCTTTTTTCTTTTTTGAACTGCCAGTGCTTTATATATTAGCACTGGGAAGTGCTGGAGAGGGGGATTTCATTAATCTTCAATTAGGTACAAGTGTGCCCAGTCAGTCTTTCAGAGTGGACATAAATCAAATAGGAAGGGCAAGAATCTAAAGAGATTATTCCCTTGTCATTGTTTTGGTGAGGGGAAAAACAGTGCAACAGAGTAGAATAAATATACATTAGCCCTTCATTTTAATATGGAACTGTTTGATCTCCCTTAAAAGTTCATTTCTACTCTTTTTTTCCTCAGAGATTTAAACACAAAATCCCTGTGTCGAGAAGAAAGTCTAAGGGGATCCTACAGGGCAACGTTTTCAGTTTCCTCCCTCCACCCTTTCCCTCTCCTATTTCCCACTTCCTAACTGGTGCCTGAATCCAAAAGCTGCTGAAAAACACAGAGAAAATGGGAAGTCCAGTCAAAACAGCAAGGAGCAGGATCCTGTTACTGTGTGTTCAGGAGTGAAAATAGACATTTTAGCATTGAAGAAAAACAACTGCTCAGCCCTGAGTGGTTTCCATATACATATAGCTCATATCTGGAGTGGCAACCACTGATTATGCCACCCGACACGTACTGTGGGGACCTGTCTCTCAAGTTTCCACTAGATAAATTTGAACATTTTTAAATTAATCCAGAATAGAAATTAAACGGGAGAAAATCTGGACATACCTAAAAACCCCACTGGTGGAGTTATTCTAAAGCCAGATCCCCTCCTCCTCCCGCCCCCACACACACCTCAAAGAGGCATTTTGAGACTAGAATGGCATAATGATATTTAAAAAAACCCAACAATAAATAATCCTATAGCACTTTATAGACTAAGGTGCTACAGGACTATTTTTGTTAGTCTCTAAAGTGCTACAGGACTACTCGTTTTTTAAAGTTATGTAGATTAACACGGCTACATCTCTGAGATTGTTAAAAAAGGCAGTCTGGGAAATGGAAATAAGTTTACGAAGGCACTTTTCAAATCCATATGCATGTAGCTTCCCCTGAGGAACCAGGAAATGGCGGGGCACTTTTAATGTTTTAGGGCTAGATTGTGACTTTGCCACATGGAATGCGTGTGGGGCAGCCAGTGGCCGTGTCACTCCAAAAGCAGCACAATGAGCTACAGTTCCCTGCTTCTCTTGCTGTAGAGGATTTGAAGGGGGACCTGATGTGACGGTTCATAGAAGCAACCATGGTTGTGAGGCACCTCACTATCAGCTGCCCTTAATGTGAGGAAAGCTAATCTGTGCCTGCCAGCTTCCCGACTCTACTAGCCACAGACAACATGAGACTTTCTAGGCCTCACTGATCCTGCTGCTTCTCTGAAGCTTATTAAGAGGCAAATGCCAAGTATTGAGTCCTCCACACATTTCCCTGAACGGTCCAGTCCCCCTTCCCCTGCACACTTGGGCTTTGTCTACGCTCATGGCTTCTTGCGCAAGTAATATGCAAATGAGGCTAAGCGTGGAATATCGCCGAGCCTCATTTGCATACCTAATGAGCCACCATTTTTTTCAGAAGAGGCTCTTGCGCAAGGAGCATCTCCACTGCCCCTTCTTGCGCAAGAAAAACCCTCTTGCGCAACGCCATTACACCTATTACTTTTCAGGAATAACGGCATTGCGCAAGAGGGTTTTTCTTGCGCAAGAAGGGGCAGTGGAGATGCTCCTTGCGCAAGAGCCTCTTCTGAAAAAAATGGTGGCTCATTAGGTATGCAAATGAGGCTCAGCAATATTCCAGGCTTAGCCTCATTTGCATATTACTCCCGCAAGAAGCCGCTAGTGTAGACATAGCCTTGCAGTGTTCACAGAGTCGGTGTTGCTATGGAAGCAGGACAATCCAGCTTATTGGTTATATCTCCGACCACTGCTCTGCTTAGCACACAGCACTCAGATAGTGAAAACAAGTAAAAGTGTATTTAACAACATACAGAGATTCTAGGGATAGCAAGTAAAAGTATTGGAAACAACTGATTACTGGTTGGCGATGTTCTTCCATTCATGAGCCAAATCACCCTGTCAGTTTGCCTTCTCTGGTGACTGTCCAGAGTGTTTGTTTGCACTCCAGATAGATCGGAACAATTGTTGTCCTTATTAATAAAAAGGAAATCCCCCACTGGTTGTTTTTATCTTCATGCTCCTTTCATGTACTTTTCACAGTCACTTAATCAGCATCTGGCTCAGTGTGCAAATACGCTCACATTGTGAAACATACAACACACAATTGCCAGACAGGGAGTCTGTTACCCCTAGCCTGAAAGAAACCTGTCTGAGACACGTCTTCCAAGTTACCTGCTGTAAGAACATAATTTTCAGCGTACACTCACAGCCCCTATGTCAGCAATATGTACATGCCTCAGTGATTATGATGACCTCACATGTCACCCTTTAGTGAATTACTAGGCATATATTTGACCAGGTGGACCTCTGTAAAACTGTACTCACCCCCGGTGTCGTCTGTCAGTTGACACTGAGAGGTTCCTGGATCACACTTGGGCACTGTGGCTAGGCGCACACACATGGAAAAGCTGTCTGAGAGCATGGGGCTTTTCAGTCTTGCTGACAAAACCCATTACAAAATCCACTGACTACAAATGAAGTTAGACAAATGCAACCTTAAAATAAGAAAATTGCAACTTCCTAGCAGTGAGGTTAATCAAACACTGGGACAGTTTGCCAGGGACAGTGTTGGACTAGCTACCCCTTTGGAGTCTTTAAAGGGACATTAGATATTTTTCTAAAATTGTGGTGCTGAAATTCTTTCAGACGCACCCCCCCAATAACAGAATCTATCTGCGACCTCCCCACCCCTCCCGCCCCCATTACTGCACGGCCAAGGCTTTCTTGGTAGTGGAGCTTGGGAGTAGAACTGGGGATGGGGGAAGAGCTGGGACTGGACGTGAAGCTGGTCAGGGTGCAGAGTGGGTGAATGAAGGCAGAACCTAGCTGAGGCAGAGCCGTTAGCAGAGTGGTCCTGTGGATGGAGTCAGAGACGGCCTTGGGGTGGAGAGGGAATGAAGGAAGCGCTGGTCTGGTGGTGGGGGGATGGACACAACAGAGCAGGGGGGGAAATGGAATGGTGGCTTGGCCTGGAGCTGGTCTGAGGGTGAAGAGGGAGGGAGAGTGGAGCTGGGCGTGGAGACAGAGTTGAGCTGGGGGCTGAATAGGATCAGAGATGGTGCTGGTCAAGGGGAGAAGTGGGGCCAAAAGCATCGTGCTCCCTCCCTGCCCACCATGGGGACTGATCCTGCCCTCAACAAGCGCCCCAACCCAATGTTCCTCCCCGCCCCTGAGGGGAGCCCGCCTTTCAGTTGGAGAACCACTCTTCTAAGTCCTGTTTGTGAGGGAAATTCAATTGCCTGTGTGCAGAGGGGTTCAGGCTAGATCAGTGGTCACTAACCAGTAGATTGGGACCTGCCAGTAGATCTTAGAGCCTCTCACAGGTGGTCCTGACTGGTTTGGCCAGGAAGCTACCAAGCGCTGGCACTTCACTTGCCCCTCCACCCACTGTCATGCTGCTCCTGCCCTCTGCCTTGGAGCTGCTCCCCTGGGAGCCTCCTGTTTGCTGTGCAGGGTGTGGGAGGGAGAAGAGGGGGAGAGTTGATGTAAGGGTGTCCTTCCCCCCCCCCCCCCACTCCTGTACTCCATCTCCACACAAAGAGAAGGGGATAGAGGGAGTTTGGCAATGCAAATCTCTGTCACTCTCTCAAACACACACTGTCCTTCACTGTCATCTCCCGACCCACCACACGGGTGGGCGGTTGTTGTTACTTCTTTTACTGCTTGCAAAGTGTGGTCATTTTGGGGTTTGATGGAGCTGTGCCTTTCAGAATTTTCATTTCTCTCTCACACTTAAATTTAATTCATTGAATAGTGAGTTCTAAAATGCTGAACCTGTTGTGGTTCGAGTCATTATCCCTGTGGAAATTGCTGCTCCTGGAAGTGGCTGGCATGTCACTGAAGCCCCTGAGAGAGGCAGAGCAGGGGGTCTCCACATGCTGTCCTTGCCTGCAGACACCACTCTGCAGCTCCCATTGATCAGTAATGGGGAACCCTGGCCTGGAGAAGCGGTGGGCTTAGTGTCTGTGGATGAGGGGCAGCACACGGCACCATGGAGCCACTGCTGTACATGCCAGCTGCTTTCAGGAGTGGTGCAGGGCCAAGGCAGGAGTAAGCCTGCCTTAACCCCACTGCTCCACCATCTGGAAACCATC